TTACAATGAGTTTTAACTAATACAAATACATATACATACCCTATAAAATAGGAGTTTATAATAGGGTTGATGTCTTAAATATGGCTACCATACAGACACAGTATGACACAAAGACTGAAATTAAGGTTATGAATAAATTAACACTAAATAGCCGAGAGTAGAATATTCTCAATTACACAAACATACTTATGGAAATACTTATAGAAATATACTAATAACTTAATTATTTCATATATATAAATATATTCTAATTACATTACCATATTAAACAGATAAAATATTAAAGTCAGTCAAATAAATATAAAACTTACCAAGTGACAGAATGTGATCCTCCTTGTAACAAGGTTAAGATGCAAGTGAGATTTGAAAGAGAAGCTGAGATGTGGTTATTTTAGTGAGTTAAAAGTGAGTAGAGTTTAGACTTGCTGTTGTAAAGATATTCTTAACCAGCTTAGAGATGGACTATTAAAGGGACAATACAACGAACACCAAATATACCATAAATAACTAATATATTAAAGGGACAATAATACAACAAATATTCAAGATACAATAAATACAAATATACACAAATATACACTACCACACGTTCCTTACAAATCTTCCAATTTTTACTGATAGATCAACCATAGCAAAGATCTCTATTAAGATTATATTTGTAATGTGTGTAACAAATTCTATGACATATGTATAATATTGGTGTAGTTAAGTATATACCATATTTATGCACACATTTCAATGTTGGCATATTTTTAGTCTCTATCATCTAGAAAAAAATATTCTATATTCTACGAATATTAGTGTGGTTGCGTTGTCAACATTTGAGAATAATCGGTCATAGGCTAGATTATCCGGTCTTTTACATTATCATAAACAAAGTCTAAGGGAGGTAACTAGTCCTAAAACAAGATGTTGACGCCCATGAAATTTATATAAGAATGCCATTTCCGAAAATCCATTTGATTGCATTGTCAGTTCAATATCCAACACTCTTAATTTTTTTTATTGTAAAATTTCTCTCTTCATGGGCCATATCTATGTTGTTTTTTTTATTGAATCCTAATTCGTCATCACGATTCATGTTTGTTTATAAATGCAAGTGTTATTGACAACTGTCCCAGACCCTCATTATTTATATGGCCCAACTTTTCTTCGGCGTACACCGGCACGGTATTAGACTAGGATAACAGTCCCGAAACTCATGGAGTTGAAAAACATTAGTCTTATATACCGCCTCTACTTAATTATGGAAGTAGGTCGGAAAAATATAAAATTTGGCAATTTGACTTATACTCAACATAGACTTATACCCTGTATGGTAATGTGATGATGCCCCCTCTTCCAGACAAGACATAGGCTATAACTGTTTCAAATGACAAGTGCTAAATGAAGTATTTATGTGGTCTTTGGTGAAAGAAATGAAATGAAATGGGGTTTAACGTCCTACTGTTCTGCTCCTAACCTGGGCTAATGAAGACGAGAATATGCCATACTGTGTGCTATGAGGGACATTTTGCCTTGGCAGCGGGGCTACGGCCTACTCTTATATCGAATTCCAACTGCCAAGGGATCTTTTACGTGCACGCCAATGTCTACACGGGACCTCGGTTTTTCGTCCCATAACGACTAGACAGCTGTCCCTCTGTCAGTCCCTCCGTCCTGCATCACTGACAAGGGAAACCACGCCGGAAAATCAGGATGAACTTTCTCGGCCAATACAGGGATCGAACACCCGATCTCCAGGCTAGCGAGCCAGCGTCTTACCCACTTAGCCACTTGATCCCCCCCTTTGGTGAAAGAGAGAGAGAGAGAAATGGGGTTTACCGTCCACTCAACACAAACTAGGTCATTTCGGGACTAACATATGGTTTAATTTTTTATTTACATAATTTGCTTGCGCGTAGGGGTCTTTAGCAGTGGGAGGAAACCGGAGGACCCGGAGAAAACCCACGAGGTTGGACAGGCGACCCTACTCCTTGCCACGTACAACCGGGGTTTCGAAATCACGCCAGTCGACTCAATGACAGACTTTATGATACAGCGCGCGCACGCTAACCATTCAGCCATCCACCCCCCACCCCCTTTGGTGAAAGAAAACAGAGCTGTGGCTAGTGAAATGAAAGTTTAACGTCCTACTGTTTTGCTCTGAACTGGGCTAATGAAGATGGGCATACGCCATACAGTGTGCTATGTGGGAAATTTTGCCCGGACAGTGGCACTACGGACTTCTCTTATATCGAATTCTAACTTCAAGGGCTCTTGTACGTGCACGCCAATGTGTACATGGGACCTCATTTTTTTGTCCCATTTTAATGACTAGACAGCTGTCTTGTCTAGCCCTCTGTCCTGCATCACTGACAAGGGAGAACCACGCCGGAAAATCTGGAGTAACTTTCTCGGCCAATGCAGGGATCGAACACCCGACCTCCAGACTAGATAGCCAGTGTCTTACCGACTTAACCAACGTGATCCCCGTTGTGGCTACAATTCCTGGATTTGAAGGTCAGGTATGATATGAAACGAATATTTTGAACCGGTTCACCAATGCAACCAATCCGTGACGGGTTAACTGATAGAGGGTTACATCCTTGATATAAATATACTTGTCGCGGGTTTTAAAAATAGAAATATATATATATAAAGGTAGCTCAAAATTCATCTCTACATGTACAGAGGCCAAGGGGGGATCATGTGGCTAAGTGGGTAAGACGCTGACTCGCTAGCCTTGAGGTCGGGTGTTCGATCCCTGCATTGGCCGAGAAAGTTCATCCTGATTTTCCGGTGTGGTTTCCCATTGTCAGTGATGCAGGACGGAGGGCCTGACGAGGACAGCTGTTTAGTCGTTTGGATGGGACAAAAAAAAAACAAGGTCCAGTGTACACATTGGCGTGCACATAAAAGATCCCCTGGCAGTTGGAATTCGATACAAGAGTAGGCCATAGCGCTGCTGCCCGGGCAAAATTTCCCTCATAGCACACTGTATGGCGTAACCTTTTGCGTCTCTTCAAAATATTTCAAATCTTTTGTCATGGATCAACCATTGCAAATATCCGTGTTACAATTATATTTGAAATGTGTTAAACCAATTCTGCAACACATGTAATATTGGTGTAGTATATATCTTTGTTTATACACCCACATATCAATTTTGGCCCTGTTTGTCCGTACACTGGGTGTGAAATGTGAATCATTCCGATTGTGAGAGGACAAGCATTATCAATATACAGCTTTTCAGGACTTTGCCTTCCTTGGTTAATTCTCCCTAGTCTAGTCGTTTAGATGGTATGAATGACCGAGGTCCTGTGCACACATTGGTGTGCACGTGAAAGATCCCTTGGCAGTTTGAATTCGATATAAGAGTAGGCTTTAGCGCCGCTGTCTGGATAAAATTCCATAATAGGACACTGTATAGCATATTTCCATGTCATTAGCCCTGTCGGAATAGGACATTAAACCCCATTTCATTTCACTCATTCCAAAGTTAACTCCTATTCCATCAATACCTTGAGCAAATAAGATAGAGGCTATAGGTTTTGGCCCAATTTGTCAATATCCCAGTTTTTTCTTTCTTATATGCATATCAACACTTTCATAGCGCTAATGTAGACCTTTTTCTTGAACATTTTCCCGTGTCAGTGATGCCGGACAGAGGACCTGACATGGATGGCTGACTAGTCATACGGAAGGGACAAAAAAACCAAGGTACAGTGTAAACTCAAGTGTGTGTGTGTGTGAAAGATCCCTTGGCAGTTGGAATTTTATATAAGAGTATGCCATAGCTCTGCACACTGTGTGGCATATGCCCGTCTTCATTTCTCAAACAGCTGTGGATAAAAAAAGTTAATATTTAAATGTGTATTTTGTATTTTATAACATTATATTTTTGTCTTTTAAATAAAGTATATGTATACATACTTGTAGTATATTTTGTCATATAATTCTGCTAGATTTTTAACTTTTCTGTGCAATACATTTAGAATTCTGACTGGTTATGGGTAGATAGAGAGCAATGGGGTAAAACATCCAATAAACATAAACTGTCCTTTGGGACTAAGTGATTCAATTCAAGTTGAATAATTCATCCGCACCAGGAATCTTTAGTAGTAGGAGGACCCAGAGAAAACCCATGTTCAAGTTGGGTGTGGAAACAAACCACTTGACTCAATAACAGACCTTATGATCAAAAGCGCACACGTTGGACCACTCAACTTTTAGCCTCACCCACGGGTCAGGAAAATTTGATTATTGGTTGAATGTACTTCCCATTTACTGCCGCAAATAATGAATAATTTTGAAGGTTTTAATGCTCATCAAAATTTGACTTTAGAATTGCATCCGTAAATGATGTTAATTTAATGTTAGATTTACGTTATAATGATCGGTTAGATATCCATCATTTTGCTCATCCTTTTAACGACAATTTAACGTCAGGAAATGACGTTAATCTAGCGTAAAGTTTACGTCATTTTTACGTTATATTTACATCATTTTCTGACGTAAATCTAACGTAAAGTTTACGTCATTTTCTGACGTAAATCTAACGAAAATGACGTAAACTTTACGCAAATTTTACGTTAGATTTACGTCAGAAAATGACGTAAAGTTTACGTTAGATTTACGTCAGAAAATGACGTAAATATAACGTAAAAATGACGTAAAGTTTACGTTAGATTAACGTCATTTCCTGACGTAAAATTATCGTTAAAAAGATGAGCAAAATGATGGTAAACTGACTGACCATTTTTACGTAAATGTAACGTAAAATTAACATCATATTGTTATGTGGGTATAGGTTTCCAAAATTTCCTCTATGCGTGGTAATGCATAGGCATCACGAACGGTCTTCTTGTTCAACATCTAGTTCTTCTAACATGAATATGCGGAAAGGAAATGGATCAAGTTTATAATGACCATGCCAGCTCATAAATCTATAAAATGATTTGCTTCTAAATACAGATGAAAATAACCGTGGTCTGATCCCTACATAATTATACACGAGTCATGTCCCTTTCCTGCATATTTTTGGGGTACGGAGGATGAAAGTCCAAATTGTCACAGAAGGCGAATTGATTGACTTTTAATTTGTAAATGACATTTTAGAATTTTTAGCCGAAAATACCATATTTTGCACGAGGAACTTTCAAGTAGGGCGCGCCTAACAAAACATGGTTGTGATGTTGATAATCGGTAGTCATCGTAGCTGAACAGTGTAACGACACGGTTGTGTAACTTAAATTTACTGTAAACAGAAACAGGTCAAAGTTGACTCAAAGTTCGCTAACGGGTTTGTATTAGCAGTTTGTATGTTACAGTATTAGCAGGCAAGACCTTATTTATATGAAATAAGTATCAATTCCGCTTGTGTAGGCTACGGCGTAGGCACCGGATTAAGGGCTGTCCCACGTACCTCCAATAAAATTTTTTGTGTAGGTTGCACAGATGTCATGTGATGTACAAATTGCCTTTTCACTGTTGAAGTTAAAGGGCAAAATTTCTGCAGCCAGGGGCCTCACAAGACATTTTCAGCCAGGGGGTCCATGCAAGCTTTATCTGTCCCTGGTTGCAACCATAGAATTGTAGGCCAAACATTTGCTCGATTGCGACATTTTTTATTCTAAAATTGTATACCATTTAGCCTACCTCTAGGAGACATTACTTAAAACTTACTTATTGTATACTTTCAAAGGAAATGAAAAAAAATTAAATGAAATGGGGCTTAACATATCCTACTGTTCTGCACCGACTGGGCTGATGAAGATAAAAGAGGCTGAGTAAAGCTACACTATTTCTTCACAGCAACTATTATAATATCACTGTCTTCATGCATAATCGACTAATATCAATGTCTCATGCTTAGACTCTATATATATTTTAGATAAAGTAAAAGTTTGAGAGAAAACAATATGAAGACATTAGTAGGTAAAATCTGTATTGTAACTGGAGCTACAAGAGGTATAGGTAAAGGTATAGCTCTACAGCTAGGAGAAGCTGGTGCAACCGTCTACATAACAGGTAGGCATACTCTCTCTCTCTCTCTCTCTCTCTCTCTCTCTCTCTCTCTCTCTCTCTAATTATTGGCCAAGGGCCAGTTCTTCTTTTTTTTCTAAAATGGACCGAAATTAGATTCAGCCATTTTGTGCACTTGTTGTCATCATTATATAGAGTCAATACATGGATTTGTTGATTTACAATATATTATTGTTTATTATTATTATTTGTAGGTCGAACTTTAAATCCTCCGAATGATCAAGTTGGAGGAAGTCTAAGAGAAACAGCTAAAGAGGTATGATGCATATGTAGGTCAGTGGAGTAAGACCACAAAATTAATAGACTTCGCATTCAGATGATGACCTTTCATATCATAAGCATGTTACGGTATATGCAAAACAAGTTTATTATTGGTGCCACCATGCCAGCATTCAGAATAAAATATTAGAGTAAAAATACACCTTTGCAAGATCATTGAAAATTATGAATTTCTACAACTTAATAAATTTGTTTATGACAGTTAGAATTCGTAGCAAGAGTAGGCCCTTTAGCTTTACTGTCTGGGTAAAATTTCCCTCATAACACACTGCATGGTCTATGCCATGCCCATCTTCATTAGCTTGGCTCGTGCTAAAAAATGAGAAGTCAAACCCCCTTTTCATTTCTAGCATAACAGAGACCAGTCATACACTAGTCTAGTTAGGTTGAATATTACTATTATGTGTATTTATTTCAGGTTGAAAACAGGGGAGGTAAATGTATACCAGTACAATGTGATCACACTAAAGATGATGATATTGTTAAACTATTTGATAAAGTTAAAAATGAACAGGATGGAAGACTGGATATCTTGGTCAATAACGCCTACTCGGCTGTAAATGTAAGTATGTCGTTGATCGTCAGTCTATAATTAAACGAAAACGGCATGGCGAAGCCAGACAGGCCACCCACCCACTCACCCACCCCAATGCACTGATTCAACTTTCCCTAGCAGTTTTGTATTATTGTATTAGCTTGATAGCGTTGAGAACATAGAATACTCTTCAAAACGTTACCCAAATAGTAGTAGCTGTTTTTCCATAAGTTTATGCGTTATAGTTTAAACCAAAATCGTATAGCGTTAACCGCTTATATGGCCAGAGAATGTTGATGAAAAATTTCGTTTATTATCATAGCAATCATACTTGACATCGAAAATATGAACTGTGAATGGAGTTTCCATCTGCCAATTATGGCCATTTCTTGTGAAAACTTCAAACGTCATTCAGAATAGAGTAATTAACATATTCATTTTTCATTATTTTGAATTATTATAGCAGAAATGGCCAGCTCTTTATCCAAATTTTACATAAAATATCTTTAAATGTTAAATATTTTTCAGGCAATATTGGATAATCTTGGAAAGAGATTTTGGGAATATGAACCAAACATGTGGGATGATGTTAACAATGTTGGTTTGAGGTAGTCTAAATATTGTTGATATTAAAATCTATTGAATACTGAATAGAATTGAACCATTATTAAACTGATATTCCTTTTAGAGATTCAACTTTCAAAATATCTTACATGACAATCAGAGACTTTAATCTATGAAATAAATGAAATATTGAATATTATATCAAGGTAGAGAAATTATATATTTACAGGAACCATTATATCTGTTCAGTTTATGCTGCTAGAATGATGGTGGAAAGACAATCAGGATTAATTGTTAACATTTCATCTATGGGTGGACTGAGAAAATTATTTAATGTTGCGTATGGAGTTGGTAAAGCTGCCGTAAGTTGTATTTTGTTTTCTGTAAGAAAACATGTAACTGATATATTATATAAGATCAAATTGAAGGTTGCAGTTTTTGACAGATCTTTTTCCCATTTGGTGTTAATCATTGTGGTAATTAGCTGACAAACTCTATGGATATTCAACATTTTTGCGACTTTTCATTCCAGAGTTTTGCCCTCTTTTTGATATAAGCTATAGTTTTTAACAGATCTGTTCAAATTTAGGGGGAAGCACTGGGGTATGAGAGAACAAACTCTATCAATCATCATCGGTAGTTGATAATCCCTAATTTATTAAGAATATATTTGTTTTACTGTGTGATTGTATGGCTGTTAAGAATATATTTGTTTAACAGTGTGATCGTATGGCTGTTAAGAATATATTTGTTTTACAGTGTGATCGTATGGCTGTTAAGAATATATTTGTTTTACAGTGTGATCATGGCTGTTAAGAATATATTTGTTTTACAGTGTGATCGTATGGCTGTTAAGAATATATTTGTTTTACAGTGTGATCGTATGGCTGTTAAGAATATATTTGTTTTACAGTGTGATCGTAGGGCTGTTAAGAATATATTTGTTTTACAGTGTGATCATGGCTGTTAAGAATATATTTGTTTTACAGTGTGATCGTATGGCTGTTAAGAATATTTTTGTTTTTTAGTGTGATCGTATGGCTGTAGATTGTGGACTTGATTTAAAGAAACATAACATAACATTTGTCAGTTTATGTGCAGGACCTGTCAATACAGAAAATATTTCTAAACACATTGATAATCCTGATCTGGTGAGTAGTATAGTGTGAAAAATGTGTTTGTGGCTTACCATTCTGAAGTAGTGAGTAGTATGTTGTTCAAAATGTGTCTGTGGCTCAAAATTCTGAAGTAGTGAGTGGTATTAAAAATAGGTTTGTGGCTCACAATTCTGAACTACTGAGTAGTATAATGTTAAAAATATTTTTGTGGCTCTTATATATTTTCTTTGAAGTCAGTGTTCAGATCAGCTGAACCTTTTGACTAATCAAACTGGTATACAAGCTTAAGGCTGTTGACTTTTTGAAAGGATATATTGTAATGTAGTTTTTATTTAGGTGGGTATTGAATGTGACCAGGATCAAATTAAATCCATTAAACAAATTAAAGAGACATTGTGACAACTTACGTTCATTGTTGTTTAAATTTAGTAGATCCGAGACGTGTTATTCAGTAATTTCAAAGATTTAAACAGTTCGAATAATTGAGAAGTTTAGGAATTCTCATTATGCATTATGGGAGATTAAATAAAGAGCTGGCAGTTCTCACTATAAAAGTTGAAAACTAGATAATGTAAAGGGAATTTTAGTTAAATTGATCCACTCTGAACTGAGATATTTGCAATTGGATTTTTGGCCTAGCCTCGATCATCATTACTAAAGTCGGTACGTTAAAAAATATAGTCTTGATTATCCATTTCATGATTAAACCATGAATGGAAGTCGAACAGCAAATTGGAACCTAATCCAATAAACATTGCAGTCTAGTGATGACTTCGAGAGTTGATTATGGTCTGGATAAGTTAATTAATGCCTAATTAATAATTTATATTTCATTACAGGCCTAAAGAAAGACCTTCAATAGGCAGAATTATCTCTTGCATAATGTATGTTAAGTAAGCATACCCATAGCCTCTCGGAGGAGTTTAAATTTCTATTAAGGTTATTTTATAATCTTCAGTTCAGACAATTTGCATTTTGGATATGATGTAATAAACCTTATCATTACTTTCAGAGTAAGTTTAAAAACTTTTTTGAAAATGGCGAGACAGTAGAATATCCTGGAAAATGTATCGTTCATCTTGCAAATGGTGAGTACATTTTTATGCCCTCCCCACTTGTAAAGATGTGAATAGATTAAAAAGCTAGGTCCACATATTTCTTTATTCTAGAACTAGATAGATAACAATGACAGCTACTACACATTTATTTTATTTGTCAGATATAACTGCTTTTCTACTCTTTCCAATAGATAATTTCTAATTCAGTGGTATCCAAGGAGATTTTTTAAAGGTTTCTAAGATTAGTAGTAGCACCTAAATGGGTGCACCTATCATTTTAATGAATTATGGGAGCCATATTGCTTCAATGAGTAAGACACTGACCCACTAACTACACTGTAAAAATTATTTCTGTTTTTTAACCTGAAAATCCTGGCAGAAAAGTTGCCAGGATTTCTTGTAAATTAACATTGTGTTGTATTTTAACATTGCAATGTTCAGAAGCATGAACAAGGTTTTGTTAAATTACATATACTTGTAAAATAACATTTGACTTGTAAATGAACCTGAAATTATTCCTGTTATTTTACAGGAAAAACCTGGCAATAAAGTTGACAGAACTTCTGTAAATTAACATTGTGTTGTATTTTAACATGAAAATGTTCAGAATCATTAACAAGATTTTGTTAAATTACATATACTTGTAAAATAACATTTGACTTGTAAATGAACCTGAAATTATTCTTGTTTTTTTACAGCAAAATCCTGGCAGAAAAGTTGCCAGAACTTCTGTAAATTAACATAGTTTTGTATTTTAACATGGCAATGCTCAGAATCATTAACATGATTTTGTTAAATCATATATACTTGTAAATGAGCCAACTTTACAGGCTATTGGTTTCACATCTGATCAGTCATAGGTATTAAACCAATTGCACCAGAAAAGGGTTGTCTGAGACAATTCATGGTAACTATCATCTGGAGCACTTGTTCATTAGGCCTATAATACATCTTGATTATCAGCTTACTGTTCTTTTTCTCTCATGTGTCTGGTGTAAAATTAAATATAACTTCAGGTTAAAGAAAACTAACTAAATACATTCAATATTACATTTTATTAAAAATTATCAAGTGAAATAAGCTTACAAAAACTTCAAAGGTCTTAACAGAAAACACAAGATATGTATATAATCCATACAAATTAATGTATAGTCAAAATGAACAGTTTATAACTGTAGAATATATGTCAAACATACTAAAATTCTATCTTTAGTTTCAGAAAACAGATCCGAGAATCTATGATGTCCTCTTTATTGAACAACTAAAATCTACTAATGAAATTTTAATGGTAATCTAAAAAATAAATATGAAAATTTAGTTCTAATTTTGCTAGAACAGTTCTTAAAATAACTAAACAAGATCTGCATCATATCAAGTATCTACAGTATATCTACATAAGAACAAAACTTTGTTACTTGATTAGAAAAATGCTTGTATAAATACTCCATGGCCTCCTAATTGGATAAAAAAAAACTAAACACCTAATTCCATTTGTCGACTGGATAATTTTTGAGAGCAATCGAATTATTATATAAAATCAGAGGGCATAAATCAAGTATTGCTTTGTAATCTACCAAAACAATGTCCCCTTTATCAAAGTCTACCTCATATAAACCATTCCTTGCTCTTCTTGTACTTATGTATTTACAGAGCAACTGGGGAATGCAATCTTCATCAAATAGCAAAAATTGGATTTGACCGAAACCTATATATCCATTTTTACTATCAACAATTACACAATTACCACTTTTGATTGAATAACCATGTATCAAAACAGATCTTGAAAATCTTAAATTGTTAATATTGTTAACTTTTTCATGGACTATGTCAAATATTTCTTTCCCAACACAATTTGGTGAAAATTTTTCAGCATCTTCAAATTGTCCCTCTTCTGACTTGAATAAACTACCCACTGAATAATAAGACTGAAGAAGCTGATGTTTTTCAGACAGAGTTTTTGTCACATTTTTAAAATTTTTTGAACTTCGAATACATCTTTTAAAATAAGTATGTTTTGATTCAAATCTCATCGTCCACACTCTGAGCATTGGTCCAAATTGGGTAATCAAATGGGGATAGTGATGGACATAATGGTGTTTTGGTCTCAAATTCACACCCAGGAACAGGGTCTGTCTCATTATTATATAGTCATCTAAAAGGTGCTGTACAATACCAACTTGATTGATTGATATTTTTGGCGAACATAAATATTCTGTAATTATTCGTAATAGTAAAATAGCTTTCCAAACATCATCTTCAAAATTTGCAACATGTTCAGAAATAATTATTGGCAAAAGTCGCAGAAAAGTCCAGGTTTGAACAGCATGACCTGCAATGTTGTCACATTTTGCTTTTATTGGAACAGGCTTGTTATCTAAATCATGGCCTTTATAAGCAAATGATGAAATACAGAAATTTAAAGTCTTTAAATCAAACCACTTTTTGACATTGATCAAATTTTTCAAGAACAGTGCCAAATCATATTTAACAACACCTTCAAACAAGTCGTGACCCAGACAGGGGGGCAGAGCTGGATTACAAACATGAAAACCATTTATGTCATTGACAATGCTATTACATTTTATACCATTGTGATGCTCGACATTATTTTCCTCTACAAATTTAACGGAGGGTTCAAAATTTTCAACTGTTCTTAGTTCAGCATTTCTGATATTCAAAGGATTAGTTTCATAAGATAGTTTCATCATTAGGCAATATCTACAATAATATTGACCATTCGAAAAATTGGTACAAAACCCACCAATAAAGTGACTGCCAAGATTATCACCCAAGACACAAACAAGATTTGCCTTAATCAATTTTCCATCAATATTAAGCCCAACAGCAAGTTCCTTAATTTCACTAACCAATCGTTCAAGAACTGTTCGTCCATTATCAAAATAAAGAAAATCCTTCTCACGACACAATATAGCCAGTTGTAAAGGGTCAATCTTGGCTCTGTTATATGGATAAATATCCACTAAACTAAAATAAAATCGAATAAGTTTAAAGGTTTTTTTTGCAGATCCTAGCGGATTAACAACTTCGAATGCATCCTGATACAAGATAATTTTTAATGCATCTTTATTCTGTTGAAAATACCTGTTAGTTTTGAAACTTGATCCATCAGTTATGTCTATATAAAGATCTTTATCACATGCTAAAGGCTTATTTATATGATTCATAACACTTACATCTTCAAGCAAAGACTTCAATGTTTCTTTTAAAGGAACATAATGATACACACATCTTTTGTTATTTTCATCCAGTCCTAAATATAGTTCAATGGGCTCAATATACTTAAAATGTTGTTTAAAAAAACGCTTTCTTTTAAAATCTGTATCAAACTTAGCACTATCACCACTCAGAAGTGATTTGAATTCATCACTGTGCATAATATGATTAATTTTAGACTTTGTTTCAGAGTTTTCAAGTTTAACCTCATAATTTATCTTTTTATACATAATGTCAATTGATAAAACGTGTAAATCATTCACATCAGACATCATCACATTGATTGTGCTAACTGGTATAAGCTGGACAGCTTCAAGTTTCATGAAATACAAAGCCAATGACCTATTAAAAACCTCTGATAAGTTTTGCTCATTAGAATGATCTACTTCAATATCAGACACTACATTTTCTGGTGGTTGACGTGCAAAATACTCTGTCGTACCAGTCTCAATGGCATCTGACAGAACTGTACTGATAATAACACTATTTGGCCTAAAAGATTCCTTAAACCTGCTGCCTGTCGATCCGTGTTTTCTAGATATATGAGATGTGTATGATGAATGTTTCGTAAAAAGCCCATCACAGTTTAAATAAGGACATGGCATTGGTTGATCAAAACATATGTGCTGTTTGCAATGTGATATTAAATCCTTGAGACTGCCTACTTTCCTTTTGCAACTATCAACGCAACAAATGAAATCATCATTTACTATTTTGTCTTGAACAGATTGTGCACACAAACTATTGGAGATACTGCACAACGATTGTAAATGGTCCCTGGTCATATGACATTTTAGAGAAGTAAATCTAACAAAAGTCCTTTTACAAAAGACAAAACAGCATGGAAAAAATATGTTTTTTACATTATTATGCAGCTTATAGTGACTCAAATATTCTTTGACAGAAAAAAGATCAAATGTGCAAAACTGACATTTGTAGACCACCATTTTTCATTCCAGGGATAATCCTAATGGTGTGTGTTTGACATTTTTACCGAATAAACAGAGTCTCCAACTAGAATTCCTAAAGAAAAACAATATAAATTGGGTGGTTTTACTCTTGGCCTAAATCAATAACCTAAATAACATGTATGAATACAACTGAAAGAGTAATTTCTTAATCTTAAATAACATAATAATGAAAACATGCATCTGATGTTCAAATTAAGTAAAAAAAAAAACAAAGAAAAATTCAAACAATATAACCTTGAACAGGGTTTGCAATTCAAATGAAGAATTGAGATAACTTGTTTATCACAGTTTTATGAAAATACACATCACTTTATAAAACTGAGCACTTCGTCAAGTCAGTAATCATGTTGGTCTACATCAACTTCATCAAGATGACTTGCCAAGGTTATAACTTTAGAAGAAACACAGCCTTTCTTTGTACTTTTCTTGGGTTTTTTGGATCCAAAATCTGGATTGATTCCTATAAGTACTCTGAAATAAAATTAAATATGATCAAAAATTAGGATTCTCAAAGTACCATACCATAAGTTTGTCTCTGATCATACCAAAATAGAATGGAAATGAATGGAGCTTAATGTCCTACTTTCTGCACCTTCTGGACTATAACGAAGACAGGCATATACCATGCAGTGTGTAATGAGGAAAATTCTACTAGGACAGCCAGCGATAACACGCCTACTCTTCTTCGATTTCCAACTGTCTAGGGATCTTTAACAACTAGTTTACTTTGCAAGCCCCGCGCCACTGGCAACCAACATACTCACTGAGCCACCGTGGCTCTCGTATCGAAGTAGAACTTCTGAATGATACATACCAGTACAGGGC